GGACTCCAAGCCCCTCCCGTGCCAGCCCTGCCCCAGCAGGGCCATGTGGCAGCAGCCGAGGCGGCTGCAAGGCCGGTCCCCCCCGGGCGGGAGCAGTGGCGGGCCCGGGGCAGCCAAAGGGGTCGGAGCGAGAGGAGCCGGGACGAGGCAGCGCTGCTGCGGCAGCGGCTCCTTCCGAGCCCGCCGGGGCTGGGCGGGAAGGAGGAGCCCGCGGGCAGCCGCTCCCTGCGCGGGCCCTGGGGAGGGGACAGGGCGGGACGAACCCGTCGGACCCCCCTCCCGGCCCCTCCGGCCGCGCCGGGGCCGCGCCCGAGCTCCGCCACCGCCTCCCCGAGTGCCCGCCCGGCTTGGCCCGGAATCCCAGCTCCCTGTGCTGAACCGGCCGCGGTTTACGGGAAACAGCCATGGCGATGTGCCCGGAGCCGCTGCTTCAGGAGTCCCAGCCCCGGCGATGTGCCCGGGCTGGCGGCAGTCTGTCCCAGTCTGTCCCAGTCCGTCCCAGTCCATCCCAGTCTGTCCCAGTCTGTCCCAGTCCATCCCAGTCCATCCCAGTCTCTTCCCAGCAGCCGCCGCCGTTTCCCGGGTCCTGCCCCCCCCGCCCCCCCAAGATGCTGACGGGGGTCGGGGCTCCGTCTTTGCCTTCGTCTCCCTGGGCTGGGGCTCGGCCTCCGCCCGCGGGAGGAGCTGAGGGGGGTCCCCGGGGGTCGTGTGTCCCCCCCGGAGCGTGTGTGCCCCCCCGGGACTCCCATCCCGCTGTCCCCCCCTTTTCTCTCCCCACGGAGCTCCTGCCCCAGCTCCCGCTCCCCCCTGGCAGGGGCTTTGGGAGCCCCCCTTTGCCTTGACCCCGGGACCCCTGCGGGGGGCAGTGGGGGTTGCCCAGGGCGGGCACTGGCCCAGGGCGATCGCCCCCCGCCCCCGCGGCATCCGCTGATCGCGGCGCTTCCCCCGCTTTGGCCCCAAAGCGGCGCCTTTAAGGCCGAGTTTAAGCGCAGGGCCCGCGAGTTCAGCTCGGCCCGGCCCGGGGGTCCCGCCGCTCGGGCCCGTCCAGGGGGCCCGGGGGTGGCGGGGGGACCCGGGCCGGTGCCGGGAGGGGTCCCGAAGGGGATCCCGGGGCATTCCCGGCAATTCCCCCGGGCCCGCCCCCCGCGCTCCCTCGGCCACTTTCGCTTTCGCGTCTCCCGAACTGCGCCCAGCGGGGCCAGCGGAGCAGCGCGATGGCTCCAGCGCTGGGGCTGGGGGCGCTCCTGGCGCTCCTGGCGCTCCTGGGGGTCTCGGGGGGGCAGCCCAAGGGTAAGTGGGACCCCCGGAACGGGCAACTCCTCAGCCTTTATTCCCGGGCACCGGCACTTCCCCGAATCTCCATTTCCGGGCACCGGGACCCCCCTGCACCCTCTCCCTCCGCACCGGGACCCCCTGAATCCCGATTGCTGGGCACGGGAACCCCCTGAGCCCCCATTCCCGGAAGGGGACCCCCCTGAACACCCACTCCTGGGCACCGGGACCCCCCTGAACTTCCATTTCCGGGCACCGGGACCCCCCTGCACCCTCTCCCTCCGCACCGGGACCCCCTGAATCCCGATTGTTGAGCACGGGAACCCCCTGAGCCCCCATTCCGGGAAGGAAACCCCCCTGAACACCCATTCCTGGGCACCGGGACCCCCCTGAACTTCCATTTCCGGGCACCGGGACCCCCCTGCAGTCTCTCCGTCAGCACCGGGACCCCCTTAAACCTCCCTATGCGGCACCGGGACCGCCTCATTTCCATTCCTGGGCACCGAGACCCCCTTGAACACCCGTTCCCGGGCATGGGAACCTCCCTCAACCTCCATTCCCGGGCACAGGGACGCCTCTGGAGCCCCATTCCTGAGTCCTGGGACCCCCCTGAACCCCCATTCTTGGGCACAGGAACCCCCCTGGACCCCCATCCCTGGCACCAGGACCCCTCTGAACCCCCTTATCCTCAACAAATACCCCCCTGTGCCCCTTTTCCTGTCAATCCCGCCTCTCCCAGCCCCCTCATCCTCCCTTTTCCTTGACCCTGAGACCCCCTTTCCTGCCTTTTCCAGACCCCATTTTCCTCAACATCAGCGACCCCTGGACCCCCCTTTTCCTGGGCACAGGGACCCCCTGAATCTCCATCCCACCTCTCCCAGTGCCCTCCCCCCCTTCCCCTGACCCTGGGACCCTGTTACAGACTGGACAGGGGCTGCAACCTGCTTCTTTTAGATGATTCCTTCCAGGGCGAGATTAAGGCCCAAACCTCCAAATGTTGGGTCTCAAACACACAACTGACTTTATTTGTGCCAATAAGGAACGGTAAAAGCGAGGGGGGGAGGAGAAGAGGGAGAGATGAGGAAAAGGAAAGGCTGCCAAAGGAAAGTGCAGAAAGGTTGCCAGCCCAGGGAGAGAAGCGGGTGCAGTCAGGCTCGGGCAGGCAGGGAAGCAGCGCTGGAGGGAAGCGGGTGGGGAGCAGAGCGGATCCGAGCCGAGCAGCAGAGCAGGGAGGTGGGACCCGAGCGGGACGGAGCGAGGAGCGGGGCCAGCAGCCAGCACGGGCCCCTGGCCAACACCGGCTGGGCTGGACAGGACCGAAACGCGGGCACTGCCTTAAATCCCCCCGGTGGGCGCTCCCTGGCCAGCTCGGCTCCGGGCAGAGCCTTGACTTTGAGACCCCCTGGAGCCCACGCAAGACGTGGCCGCGGAGGGTTGCAGAGGGTCTCAGGAGGACTCAGGGCGGTCCCAGCAGGGCTCCCAAAGGACATTCCCAGGAATTCCCCCGTCCCCTCCCCTCCCCCGCGCTGCCTCGGGCACTGTCGCGTCTCCCAACCTGCGGCGGCGGGATCTGCCCGGTGACCGGTGACGTCAGGGCCCAGTCGGGTTGCCATTGGTGCAGAAGAAGTAGCGGCGCCGGACGCTGCTGTGTGGGCGGGGCCAGCGGAGCAGCGCGATGGCTCCAGCGCTGGGGCTGGGGGCGCTCCTGGCGCTCCTGGGGGTCTCGGGGGGGCAGCCCGAGGGTAAGTGGGACCCCCGGAACGGGCACCTCCTCAGCCTTTATTGCCGGGCACCCGCACTTCCCTGAACCTCCATTTCCGGGCACCGGGACCCCCTGACTCCCGATTGCTGGGCACGGGAACCCCCTGAGCCCCCATTCCTGGACGGAGACCCCCCTGAACACAGATTACCGGGCACCGGGACCCCCCTGAACCTCCATTTCCGGGCACCGGGCCCCCCTTGTAGCCTCTCCCTCCGCACCGGGACCCCCTTAAACCTTCTTATCCAGTACCGAGACCTCCCAGTTTCGATTCCTGGGCACCGAGACCCCTCTAAACCTTAATTTCCGGGCACGGGAATTTCCCTCAACCTCCATTCCCAGGCACAGGGACCCCTCTGGAGCCCCATTCCTGAGTACTGGGACTGCCCTGAACACCCATTCCTGGGCATGGAACCCTCCTGAACCCCCATTTCTGGGTTCCGAGGACCCCCTGAACCCCCAGTCCCTCGCACGGGAATCCCTCCCCACCTCCATTCCTGGGCACAGAACCCCCCTGCACCCCCTCCCCCAGCGATGGGACCCCCCTAAACCCCCTTACCTGGCACTAGGACCCCCTGAACCCCCATTCCTGGACAAAGAGACCCCCCTGGACACCCATTCCTGGGCACTGGGAACCCCCCTGAACCCCCATTCTGGGCACAGGGATCCCACTGCACCCCCTTATCCAACACAGGGACACCCCTGGGCCCCGATTCTGGGCACTGGGACCCCCCTGAACCCCCTTTTCCTGCACCAGGACCCCCTGAACCCCCATCCCCGGCACCAGGACCCCTCTGAACCCCCCTCTTCTCAACAAATACCCCCCTGTGCACCTTTTCCTGCCAATCCTGCCTCTCCCAGCCCCCTGATTCTCCCTTTTCCTTGACCCTGGAACCCCCTGGACCCCCATTCCTGCCTTTCCCAGCCCCCAGACCCCACTTTCCTCTACGTCAAGGACCACTGGACCCCCCTTTCCTGGGCACAGGGACCCCCTGGATCCCCTATCCCTCCTCTCCCACTCCCAGCCCCCACTTTCCTTGAACCTTGGACCCTTCCCAGCTCTCCCAGTTCCACTTCCTTGACCCTTGGACCCCCCAAACCCTCCAATCTCTGTGACCCCCCCAGTTCTCCATTCCCTGTGCTTCCTGCAGGGGGGTCCCAGGCACCGGGAACACCCTCGACTGCAATTCCTGGGCACTGGGACACCCCCCAACCCCCTTATCCTGCACCAACACCCCCCTGCACCCCCTTTCCTGGACATCCTGCCTCTCCCAGATCTCCCTTTTCCTTGACCCTGAGACCCCCTGGACCCCCATTCCTGCCTTTTCCAGACCCCATTTTCCTCAACAGCAGCCACCCCTGGACCCCCCTTTTCCTGGGCACAGGGACCCCCTGAATCTCCATCCCACCTCTCCCAGTGCCCTCCCCCCCCTTCCCCTGACCCCGGGACCCTGTTACAGACCGGGCAGGGGCTGCAACCTGCTTCTTTTAGATGATTCCTTCCAGGGCGAGATTAAGGCCCAAACCTCCAAATGTTGGGTCTCACACACACAACTGACTTTATTGGTACCAATAAGGAACGGTAACAGCGAGGGGGGGAGGAGAAGATGAGGAAAAGGAAAGGCTGCCAAAGGAAAGTGCAGAAAGGTTGCCAGCCCAGGGAGAGAAGCGGGTGCAGTCAGGCTCGGGCAGGCAGGGAAGCAGCGCTGGAGGGAAGCGGGTGGGGAGCAGAGCGGATCCGAGCCGAGCAGCAGAGCAGGGAGGTGGGACACGAGCGGGACGGAGCGAGGAGCGGGGCCAGCAGCCAGCACGGGCCCCTGGCCAACAGCGGCTGGGCTGGACAGGACCGAAACGCTGGCACTGCCTTAAATCCCCCCGGTGGGCGCTCCCTGGCCAGCTCGGCTCCGGGCAGATCCTTGACTTTGAGACCCCCTGGAGCCCACGCAAGACGTGGCCGCGGAGGGTTGCAGAGGGTCTCAGGAGGACTCAGGGCGGTCCCAGCAGGGCTCCCAAAGGACATTCCGGTCAGTTCCCAGGAATTCCCCCGTCCCCTCCCCTCCCCCGCGCTGCCTCGGGCACTGTCGCGTCTCCCAACCTGCGGCGCCGGGATCTGCCCGGTGACCGGTGACGTCAGGGCCCAGTCGGGTTGCCATTGGTGCAGAAGAAGTAGCGGCGCCGGACGCTGCTGTGTGGGCGGGGCCAGCGGAGCAGCGCGATGGCTCCAGCGCTGGGGCTGGGGGCGCTCCTGGCGCTCCTGGGGGTCTCGGGGGGGCAGCCCGAGGGTAAGTGGGACCCCCGGAACGGGCAACTCCTCAGCCTTTATTGCCGGGCACCGGCACTTCCCTGAACCTCCATTTCCGGGCATCGGGACCCCCAAGTTTCCATTCCTGGGCACCGAGACCCCCTGAACCTCCATTTCCGGGCACGGGAATCCCCCTCGACCTCCATTTTTGGGCTCAGGGTCCTCTCTCTAGCCCCATTCCTGAGTACTGGGACCGCCCCGAACACCCATTCCTGGGCATGGAACCCCCCTGAACCCCCATTCCCTGACACACGAATCCCTCCCCACCTCCATTCCTGGGCACTTGGACCCCCCTGCACCCCTACCGCAACGCTGGGACCCCCTGAACCCCCTTATCTGGCAGTAGGACTCCCTGAACCCCCATTCCTGGACACAGAGACCCCCCCTGGACACCCATTCCTGGGCACTGGGAACCCCCCTGGACCCCCATTGCAGGCACAAAGATCCCACTGCATCCCCTTGTCCAACACAGGGATATCCTGGAACCCCTATTCTGGGCACTGGGACCCCCCTGAACCCCCTTATCCTGTACCGGGACCACTCTGAACCCCCTTTTCCTGCACCAGGATCCTGAACCCCCATCCCCGGCACCAGGATCCCTCTGAACCCCCTTACTCTCAACAAATACCCTCCTGTGCCCCTTTTCCTTGACCCTGGGACCCTCTGGACCGCCATTCCTGCTTTTCCCAGCCCCCAGCCCCCACGTTCCTCAATACCGGGGACCACTGGACTCCCCTTTCCTGGGCACAGGGACCCCCTGGATCCCCTATCCCACCTCTCCCAGTCCCAGCCCCCCCTTTCCTTGAACCTTGGACCCTTCCCAGCTCTCCCAGTTCCACTTCCTTGACCCTTGGACCCCCCAAACCCTCCAATCCCTGTGACCCCCCCAGTTCTCCCCTCCCTGTGCTTCCTGCAGGGGGGTCCCAGGCACCAGGAACGCCCTCAACTGCAATTCCTGGGCACCGGGACCCCCCTGAACCTCCATTCCTGGCACAGGGACCTCCCTGAACCCCCTCCCCCAGCACCTGGACTTCCCTAAATGCTCTTATCCAGCACTGGGACCCCCTGAACCCCATTCCTGGGAAGGGAACCGCCCTGAACCCCCATTTCTGGGAACTGGGATCCCCCTGAACCTCCATTTCCAGGCACAGGAATCCCCCTGCACCCCCTTATCTAGCACTGGGACCACCCTGGACCCCATTCCTGGGCACTGGGACACCCCTGAACGCCTATCCCCGGCTCCAGGACCCAATTGAACCCCCTTATCCTGCACCAACACCCCCCTGCACCCCCTTTCCCAGCCATTCTGACTCACCCCATGACCTCTCTTTTCCCACCCCTGGGCCCCCCTTTCCTGGGCACAGGGACCCTTGAACACCCCCTCTCCCAGTCCCTACCTTCCTTTCCTCAGCCTTGGAATCCCCAAACCCCCTTCCCAGCTCTCCCAGCTCTCCCAGTTCCCCATTCCCATGACCCCCCTGGATCCCCCAAATCTCCGTGTCCCCCCAGTTCTCCACTCCCTGCGTTACCTGGAGGTGGCGGTGACGGAGCCCAGCCCGGGGGTCCCTCAGTACCTGTCCATGGGATACGTGGACGGGATCCCCTTCGCACGCTACGACAGCGAGCGGGGCCGGACGGAGCCGCTGACGCCGTGGATGGCGGCCGGAGCCGAGCCGGGATATTGGGATTCTGTGAACCAGATCCACAAGGGGAACCAGCTCATGGGTGCCACCAACCTGGAGATAGCACGGGGCCGGTACAACTGGAGTGGGGGTGAGTGGGGGGAGCCGGAGAATGGAGGGATCTTTAGGGCTGGGATGTGGATCCAAAGTGCTCCAAGGGCTGGGATGAGGCTCTGTGGGTCTCTATTGGACTCTGGGGCTCCATAGGGCTGGAATGGGGCTCCGTGGGGCTGGGACACAATTCCAGGGTCTCCATGGATCCGATCCCACCCCCCAGGTCTCCACACGGTGCAGCGGCTTTATGGCTGTGACCTCCTGTCCGACGGGAGTGTCCGTGGATCCAGTCGGGATGGCGTCGATGGGCGGGATTTCATCTCCTTCGAGCTGGGATCCGGGAGCTTCGTGGCGGCCGATGGAGCTGCCCAGATCACCAAGAGGAAATGGGAATCTGATGGGATCGAGGTGGAGAGACTGACACATTACCTGGGGAACATCTGTCCGGAAGAACTCCGGGAATCCATTGGATACGGGCGGGAGGTGCTGGAGCGCAAAGGTGAGGGAGACAGAATTCCCATGGGAATGTGGGATTTGGGAATGTGAGATTTGGGAGGGTGGAACTGAGGAACACGGGAATTCCCGTCAGAATTCCATGGATGAATCTGAGTCATCCAGCTGCCATGGGAATTCCATGCATGGATCCCACTGTTGTCTTATTCCAGTGGGAATTCTGTGGGTGGATCTCATCCCAATCCCATTCCCATGAGAATTCCATGAATGGATCTCACTGTTATCCCATTCCAGATCCCCCCGATGTCCATGTGTCCGGGAAAGAGGAACACGGGATCCTGACGTTGTCCTGCCACGCGTACGGATTCTACCCCGGGATGATCGGGATCAACTGGCTGAAGGGGGATGAACTGCGAGATCAGGAGACGGAGTGGGGCGGGATCGTTCCCAACAGCGACGGCACCTTCCACAGCTGGGCCAGGATCGAGGCGCTGCCGGGGGAGCGGGAGCAGTACCGGTGCCGGGTGGAGCACGCCGGAATGCCAGAGCCCGGGATCTTCGCCTGGGGTGAGGCTGGGAACGGGCAATGTGGGAACTGGGCATTTGGGAAGGAGGAGTTTGGGAGTGTGGAGCAGCGGGATGGGGGTAACCCTCCCCCTCCTCACATTCCTGCCCTTCCCAGAGCCGGAATCCGTCTGGAATTCCACCCCAGTGCTGGTCGCTGTGTCCGTCATCGTTGCCGTCATCATCATCATCATTGGCCTTGGTGTCTGGAAGCTCCGATCCGGTAACTCCCGGGATGGGGGTCGGGAAGGGGCACGGATCCGCCCGGCAGCATGCCGGGGATCCTGTGCCACGGGTGCTGATCCCGCTTTCTTTCCATAGGGAAGAGGGAGGGGAATGGATACGACCCCGCGCCCACCAGTGAGTCCCAGCAGCGTGTGTGGATCCAGATCCTCTGGGCAGGGATCCCAGGATGGAGGCCGGGATTCCAGAGGGGAATGGGGGCCTAATGGCTGGAGTGGGATTGGAAGGGGATTCCAGCTCAGGGCAGGATTCCAGAGTGGGATCGGGTGGAACTGTGGACTGGGATCAGGGCTGGATTCTGGAGTGGGATTGGGGTGGGATGGATGGTGTGGGATTGGGGTGGGATGGACAGAGCAGGATCAGGAGGGAATCCAGAGCAGTTCCTACTCTCCCTGGGCTCCACAGTCGGCTCCATCCCCTGGGATGGGAACAGGGATGTGGTGACTCCTTTCCCCACTCTCATCCCAGCAGGAATCACAGCCTGAGCGATCCTGGAGCTGGATCCGCCCCTTCCCTCTCCCTGCGGAAAGGCAGGAGCTGCTGGCAGAGCTCATCCCGCTGCTCCCACCCACCCCGGCCCCCTTGCGGCTCTTCCCGATGGATCAACTTCCTGCTTTTTCCCGTGTGAAACCCAGGACCACAATTATTCCGGAGGCTTTAATTTGGGTGTGAAAATCTCCTGCTTTGGGCAATAAATCCTGGCTCCCTCCTCCGGCATCCGGCAGTTCCTCTCTGGGAACCAGGAATAGGAATGGGGACAGGGGGGAATGGGATGGGGACACTGGGGACAGGGATGGGGACAGCAGGAATGGGCATGGGAACTCCAGGAATGGGAATGGGGACACACGGAAACGGGAACGGGGAAAACAGAACTGGGTTGGGAACTCTAGGAATGGGAATGGGGACCCCAGAAATGGGAATGGGGAAAACAGAACTGGGGTGGGAACTCTAGGAATGGGAATGGGGACACCAGGAATGGGAATGGAGACCTGGAGGACCACGCTGGGGACACTGGGAGCAGGTTGGGGACAGCAGGAACTGGGAATGGGGACACATGGAAATGGGAATGCGGAAAACAGAACTGGGGTGGGAACCCCAGGAATGGGTGCAGGGACACTGGGAATGGGAATGGGGACACCCGGAATGGGAATGGGGACCTGGAGGATCACGCTGGGGACACTGGGAGCAGGCTGGGGACAGCGGGAACTGGGATGGGAACACCCGGAATGGGAATGGGGACATCGGCAGCAGGTTGGAGACACCGGGGACTGGGAATGGGGACACCAGGAATGGGATGGGAACATGGGGGACCAGGATGGGGACACTGGGAATGGGAATGGGAACACTGGGAATGGGAATGGGAACACTGGGAGTGGGAATGGGAACACTGGGAATGGGAACACCAGGAATGGGAACACTGGGAGTGGGATGGGAACACTGGGAATGGGAACACCAGGAATGGGAACACCAGGAATGGGATGGGAACATGAGGGACCAGGATGGGGACACTGGGAATGGGAATGGGAACACTGGGAATGGGGACATCAGGAATGGGAACACCAGGAATGGGGACACCGGAAATGGGAACACCAGGAATGGGAACACCAGGAATGGAGTGGGAACATGAGGGACCAGGATGGGGACACTGGGAATGGGATGGGAACACTGGGAATGGGAACACCAGGAATGGAGTGGGAACATGGGGGACCAGGATGGGAACACTGGGAATGGGAATGGGAACACCGGGAATGGGGACACCAGGAATGTGATGGGAACATGAGGGACCAGGATGGGGACACCGGGAGTGGGATGGGAACACTGGGAATGGGAACACCAGGAATGGGAACACCAGGAATGGGAACACCAGGATGGGGACACTGGGAATGGGAACACCAGGAATGGAATGGGAACACTGGGAATGGGAACACTGGGAATGGGAACACCAGGAAGGGAATGGGAACATGAAGGACCAGGATGGGGACACTGGGAATGGGAATGGGAACACCGGGAATGGGAACACCGGGAATGGGAACACCAGGAATGGGAACACCGGGAATGGGAACACCAGGAATGGGAACACCAGGAATGGGATGGGAACACGAGGGACCAGGATGAGAACACCGGGAGTGGGATTGGAACACTGGGAATGGGAACACCAGGAATGGGAACACGAGGGACCAGGATGGGGACACTGGGAATGGGAATGGGAACACCGGGAATGGGAACACCAGGAATGGAGTGGGAACATGGGGGACCAGGATGGGAACACTGGGAATGGGAATGGGAACACCGGGAATGGGAACACCGGGAATGGAGTGGGAACACTGGGAATGGGATGGGAACACCAGGAATGGGAATGGGAACACCGGGAATGGGATGGGAACACTGGGAATGGGATGGGAACACTGGGAATGGGAACACCAGGAATGGAATGGGAACACTGGGAATGGGAATGGGAACATGAGGGACCAGGATGGGAACACTGGGAATGGGAATGGGAACACCGGGAATGGGAACACCAGGAATGGGAACACCAGGATGAGGACACTGGGAATGGGAACACCGGGAATGGGAACACTGGGAACGGGAACACCAGGAATGGAGTGGGAACACGAGGGACCAGGATGGGAACACCGGGAATGGGAACACCAGGAATGGGATGGGAACATGGGGGACCAGGATGGGGACACCGAGAATGGGAATGGGAACACTGGGAGTGGGATGGGAACACTGGGAATGGGAACACCGGGAATGGGAACACCAGGAATGGAGTGGGAACACGAGGGACCAGGATGGGAACACTGGGAATGGGAACACCAGGAATGGGATGGGAACATGAGGGACCAGGATGGGGACACCAGGAATGGGAACACCGGGAATGGGAACACCAGGAATGGGAATGGGAACATGAGGGACCAGGATGGGAACACCAGGAATGGGAATGGGAACACTGAGAATGGGAACACCAGGAATGGGATGGGAACACCGAGAATGGGAACACTGGGAATGGGAACACCAGGAAGGGAATGGGAACATGGGGGACCAAGATGGGGACACTGGGAATGGGAATGGGAACACTGGGAATGGGAACACCAGGAATGGGAACACCAGGAATGGGAACACCGGGAATGGGAACACCAGGATGAGGACACTGGGAATGGGAACACTGGGAATGGGATGGGAACACCAGGATGGGGAACACCAGGAATGGGAACACCAGGAATGGGAACACTGGGAATGGGAACACCGGGAATGGGAACACCGGGAATGGGAACACCAGGATGAGGACACTGGGAATGGGAACACTGGGAATGGGAACACCAGGATGGGGCCACTGGGAATGGGAACACTGGGAATGGGATGGGAACACCAGGATGGGGCCACTGGGAATGGGAACACCAGGATGGGAACACTGGGAATGGGAACATCAGGATGAGGACACTGGGAATGGGAACACCAGGAATGGGAACACCAGGATGGGAACACCAGGATGGGAACACCAGGAATGGGAATACCAGGATGGGGCCACTGGGAATGGGAACACCGGGAATGGGAACACTGGGAATGGGAACACCAGGATGGGGACACCGGGAATGGGAACACCAGGAATGGGAACACCAGGATGAGGACACTGGGAATGGGAACACCGGGAATGGGAACACCAGGATGAGGACACTGGGAATGGGAACACCGGGAATGGGAACACCAGGATGAGGACACTGGGAATGGGAACACCGGGAATGGGAACACCAGGAATGGGAACACCAGGATGAGGACACTGGGAATGGGAACACCGGGAATGGGAACAGCGGGAATGGGAACAGCGGGAATGGGAACAGCGGGAAGTGCTGAGGAGGAGCAGAGCCCCCAGACTCTCCCAAACCCCTCCCCGATCCGAGGGCCAGGAGAAGCCCCGCCCGTTATCGATATGGATCAATAGATGTCGTGATCAGATCGAAGCCCCGCCCGTTATCGATATGGATCAATAGATGTCGTGATCAGATCGAAGCCCCGCCCGTTATCGATATGGATCAATAGATGTCGTGATCAGATCGAAGCCCCGCCCGTTATCGATATGGATCAATAGATGTCGTGATCAGATCGAAGCCCCGCCTGTTATCGATATGGATCAATAGATGTCGTGATCAGATCGAAGCCCCGCCCGTTATCGATATGGATCAATAGATGTTGTGATCAGATCGAAGCCCCGCCCGTTATCGATATGGATCAATAGATGTTGTGATCAGATCGAAGCCCCGCCCGTTATCGATATGGATCAATAGATGTTGTGATCAGATCGAAGCCCCGCCCGTTATCGATATGGATCAATAGATGTTGTGATCAGATTTTTGGGTTCCTTTATTCCGGGTTTTTGGATTCCTTTATTCCGGATTTTTGGATTCCTTTTTTATTCCGGGTTTTTTGGTTCCTTTATTCCGGGTTTTTGGGTTCCTTTATTCCGGATTTTTGGGTTCCTTTATTCTACTCCTCTTATTCTGTGTACCCTACTCCTCCTCTGCTGTTAGCCTCGCTCACTGTCGCGTCGTTCAACTATCTCAGTCCCGCTACCTCTCTCTTCCGTTTTTTGGGTTCCTTTATTCCGGGTTTTTGGATTCCTTTATTATTCCGGATTTTTGGGTTCCTTTATTCCGGATTTTTGGGTTCCTTTATTCCGGATTTTTGGGTTCCTTTATTCCGGGTTTTTGGGTTCCTTTATTCCGGGTTTTTGGGTTCCTTTATTCCGGATTTTTGGGTTCCTTTATTCCGGATTTTTGGGTTCCTTTATTCCGGGTTTTTGAGTTTTTTTATTCCGGATTTTTGGATTCCTTTATTCCGGGTTTTTGGGTTCCTTTATTCCGGATTTTTGGGTTCCTTTGGCGACCGTGGCAGGACACCCCCCCCACATATATAAAATTTATAACTGTATAAATACATATAAAATAGATAAAAATATGAATATATAAAATATATAAAAATATAAATATAAAAAATATATAAAAATAAAAATATATAAAATATATAAACATATAAATATAATAATATAATAAATGCATAAATATATAAATACATAAACACATATAAAATGTATAAATACATATAAAATATATAAATATATATAAAATGCATAAATATATATAAAATGTATAAATATATAAATACATAAATACATAAATACAAATGAAATGTATAAATATATATAGTATGTATAAATATATATAAAATGTTTAAATATATAAATAAATATTAAATGTATAAATATATAAATACATATAAAATTTATAAACAAGGTATCTAAGTTTCCTTTTGGTTGTTCTATAAAAATATATGAAATGTATAAATATATATGAAATGTGTAAATACATATAAAATGTATAAATATATAAATACATATAAAATGTATAAATATATAAAATATATAAACAAATAAATATATAAATGCACCAATATATAAATATATAAATACATATAAAGTGTATAAATAAATATAAAGTGTATAAATATATATAAAG